TGTGGTGTTGTGCCTTTTCATGTTGCGGTTTTATGTGACTAAGATTTTTCCAATCATTAATACCCATGGTCGCTATCTTAAAATTGCAACATGAAAAGGCACAACACCACATTGAAAGTATGCACAAATGGTGTGAGCTGAGTGTAAGTTTAAAAAATCAGACAACTCTTGATGCCTAAAATCAAAGATTGCTGGAGTCAGAGAAACAGCATTGGCATCGTGTTCTTGAATGTCTATTATCTATTGTTCAATATCTATCAACAAACAATCTTGCTTTTAGAGGAAGCGTTGAGAAATTATTCCAGCTCAAAAATGGCAATTTTTTGGGCCTTGTACAACTGCTAGGAAAATGTGACACAGTTATGAGTGAACATCTCCAAAGAGTAACTGAAAATGAAATACATGACCACTATTTGGGACTAAGAATTCAAAATGAACTGATCATGCTAATGAGTGATAAAGTGAGAGACAAAATTGTTTCATTGGTTACTTTGGCAAAATATTTTGCCATAATTCTAGATTGCACTCCGGACATAAGTCATCAAGAACAGATGTCATTAGTAGTGAGATTTGTCGACATTAGTGATTCAGCACAGATCACAGTTAAGGAATCGTTTATCACATTTTTAGAAGTAGAGGACATTACAGGTTTTGGACTTCTTCAAGCTCTCCTTGATGAACTAAAACGAATGGGATTGTTCGTAATTAACATCAGAGGACAAAGCTATGATACTGGTGCCAATATGAGAGGATGCATTTCTGGTGTGCAAGCTAGATTGCTGGCAGAAAATCCACAAACCTTTTTTGTTCCATGTGCATGCCACAGCCTTAATTTGATTTTGCATGATATGGCCAAGTCTTCTGTAGAAGCTATATCTTTTTTTGGTTTGCTGCAATGCATTTACGTGCTCTTTTCAGCTTCCACTCAACGATGGCAAATATTCAAAGCACAAGTCAATGATATTACCATTAAGCCTCTAACTGCGACACGCTGGGAAAGCAGAGTAGAAAGTGCAAAAACATTGAGATACCAATCTGAGGAAGTTTACGAAGCACTGGTTACTATTTCGGAAGAAGCCAGAGATCCAAAAGCTAGAAGTGAAGCACAGTCATTGGCCTCTGAAATATCCAGCTTCAAGTTTCTAACATCTGTTGTAATCTGGTATGACATTCTTGTTAAAATCTCAAGTGTAAGCAAAATAATGCAGAGTCCAATGATGCAGCTTGATTCAACACTTACCTTACACAAGACTTTTTAGTGAAATACAGAGAAAATGGATTCAAAGAAGCACAGGTTACAGCAAGAGAGTTTGCACAGGCACGCGGTGTAGAACCAAAATTTCCATGTCTGAACGTGACACGAGTTTCAAGGAGAAAACGGCAAGTGGAATATGAAGGAGCAGATGAGCCCAGACAATCAAGAAAAGAAATTTGAGGTTGAATTTTTTTAAATGTTGTGATGGATAAAGCAATATCTGCCATTGATGAAAGGTTTAATACCTTACGAGCACACCATGAACAGTTTGGATTTTTATATGACATAACTAAATTCAACGAAATAGAAAAACAAGAGCAGTTAATGACAAAGTGCAAGAACCTAGAGATCCTCCTGAAGCATGGTGATAGTTTTGATTTAAATGGACTTGAGCTGTACAAAGAATTGACTACATTGTCATCAATGTTGCCACATGCAAAATCGGTGATGGACATTGTACAGTTTATTCATACCAGCAAACTTATTGACATATATCCTAATGTGTACATTGCCACTTGCATTCTACCGACAATTCCTGTAACAGTAGCATCAGGAGAACGGAGTTTCTCAAAACTAAAGCTCATTAAAAACTATATCCATTCTACAATGAGTCAGGAACGCTTGACTGGTCTTGCTATTCTTGCAATCGAACAAGACATCACTTTGCCTTTGTCATACGATGATGTTATTACTGATTTTGCAGCCAAAAAAGCCAGAAAGATTGCTTTTAGTTAAAAACAAATCATTGTTTCAATACCTCTTCATATAAATTTCCAATAAAATGTTGACAAATTAAAAAAATTATATTATTTGCATCATTCTGTCAACAAATCAGAATTTTTTCTATAGCACTTCTTCTTTAGTGCTAGTCCACCAGCATTACAGTGTGCTTAATTAAGTTAAACTGTTTTTAATAAAGTGCATGTGGCAAGTTTTCCAATACTGTAAGCCTATGTTTGTGTTGCTAAGAGCAAGTTGGGCATTGGGGCACCATTTTAATAATCCCGCCTAGGGCACCATAAATCCTAAGGACGGCCCTGGGCATTGGTCAAATTTTCCCACATAGCACAAAACGATGACACTCATTCATATGTTTCCTCTCTTTCTCAAGTGTTTTCTCTGTCAGTTTTCCCTTTTTC